CCTCAGCGTGCACATGGCCTGGCACAAGCGCCGTGGTGACGTCGCTGCCACTTAGCGGTTGTTGTTGTTGTTTTTGTTGTTGTTGTCACGCGCGCTTGCGTGTACGTGTGTGCGGGCTTTCCAATGGAACCTTTTGCCCGACAAGTACGTAGAAGAGGGGCACGGTAATCGAATTGCATTTGCTGGTGGGGGGTACTCAACACTGCACCGTAGACTCAACACTGCACCATAGACTCAGCACTGCACCATAGACTCAACACTGCCCATAGACTCAGCACTGCACCAGAGACTCAACACTGCACCATAGACTCAACACTGCACCGTAGACTCAACACTGCACCATAGACTCAGCACTGCATCATAGACTCAACACTGCACCGTAGACTCAGCACTGCACCATAGACTCAACACTGCCCATAGACTCAGCACTGCACCAGAGACTCAACACTGCACCATAGACTCAACACTGCACCGTAGACTCAACACTGCACCATAGACTCAGCACTGCATCATAGACTCAACACTGCACCATAGACTCAACACTGCACCGTAGACTCAACACTGCACCGTAGACTCAACACTGCACCATAGACTCAGCACTGCACCATAGACTCAGCACTGCACCGTAGACTCAACACTGCACCATAGACTCAACACTGCACCGTAGACTCAACACTGCACCGTAGACTCAACACTGCACCATAGACTCAGCACTGCACTGTAGACTCAACACTGCCCATAGACTCAGCACTGCACCAGAGTCTCAACACTGCACCATAGACTCAACACTGCACCGTAGACTCAACACTGCACCATAGACTCAGCACTGCACCATAGACTCAACACTGCACCGTAGACTCAACACTGCACCGTAGACTCAACACTGCACCGTAGACTCAACACTGCACCATAGACTCAGCACTGCACCATAGACTCAGCACTGCACCGTAGACTCAACACTGCGCCATAGAGTCAACACTGCACCGTAGACTCAACACTGCACCGTAGACTCAACACTGCACCATAGACTCAGCACTGCACCGTAGACTCAACACTGCCCATAGACTCAGCACTGCACCAGAGACTCAACACTGCACCATAGACTCAGCACTGCACCAGAGACTCAACACTGCACCGTAGACTCAACACTGCACCATAGACTCAACACTGCACCGTAGACTCAACACTGCACCGTAGACTCAACACTGCACCATAGACTCAACACTGCACCATAGACTCAACACTGCACCGTAGACTCAACACTGCACCATAGACTCAACACTGCACCGTAGACTCAACACTGCACCGTAGACTCAACACTGCACCGTAGACTCACACTGCACCATAGACTCAACACTGCACCGTAGACTCAACACTGCACCGTAGACTCAACACTGCACCGTAGACTCAACACTGCACCATAGACTCAACACTGCACCATAGACTCAACACTGCCCATAGACTCAGCACTGCACCAGAGACTCAACACTGCACCATAGACTCAACACTGCACCATAGACTCAACACTGCACCATAGACTCAACACTGCATCGTAGACTCAACACTGCCCCGTAGACTCAACACTGCCCATAGACTCAACACTGCCCCGTAGACTCAACACTGCCCATAGACTCAACACTGCACCATAGACTCAACACTGCATCGTAGACTCAATACTGCCCCGTAGACTCAACACTGCCCATAGACTCAACACTGCACCATAGACTCAACACTGCACCATAGACTCAACACTGCACCATAGACTCAACACTGCATCGTAGACTCAACACTGCCCCGTAGACTCAACACTGCCCATAGACTCAACACTGCCCCGTAGACTCAACACTGCCCATAGACTCAACACTGCACCATAGACTCAACACTGCATCGTAGACTCAATACTGCCCCGTAGACTCAACACTGCCCATAGACTCAACACTGCACCATAGACTCAGCACTGCACCAGAGACTCAACACTGCACCATAGACTCAACACTGCACCATAGACTCAACACTGCACCATAGACTCAACACTGCACCATAGAATCAACACTGCACCGTAGACTCAACACTGCACCGTAGACTCAACACTGCACCAGAGACTCAACACTTCACCAGAGACTCAACACTGCACCATAGACTCAACACTGCACCATAGACTCAACACTGCACTACAGACTCAACACTGCACCGTAGACTCAACACTGCACCGTAGACTCACCACTGCACCGTAGACTCAACACTGCACCGTAGACTCAACACTGCACCAGAGACTCAACACTTCACCAGAGACTCAACACTGCACCATAGACTCAACACTGCACCGTAGACTCAACACTGCACCATAGACTCAACACTGCACTACAGACTCAACACTGCACCGTAGACTCACCACTGCACCGTAGACTCACCACTGCACCATAGACTCAACACTGCACTACAGACTCAACACTGCACCATAGACTCAACACTGCACCGTAGACTCACCACTGCACCATAGACTCAACACTGCACTACAGACTCAACACTGCACCATAGACTCAACACTGCACCGTAGACTCAACACTGCACCGTAGACTCAACACTGCACCATAGACTCAACACTGCACCATAGACTCAACACTGCACCATAGACTGAACACTACACCGTAGACTCAACACTGCACCATAGATTCAACACTGCACCATAGACTCAACACTGCACCATAGACTCAACACTGCACCATAGACTCAACACTGCACCGTAGACTCAACACTGCACCATAGACTCAACACTGCCCCATAGAATCAACACTGCACCATAGACTCAGCACTGCACCATAGACTCAACACTGCACCACAGACTCAACACTGCACCATAGACTCAACACTGCCCATAGACTCAACACTGCACCATAGACTCAGCACTGCACCATAGACTCAACACTGCACCATAGACTCAGCACTGCACCATAGACTCAGCACTGCACCATAGACTCAGCACTGCACCATAGACTCAGCACTGCACCATAGACTCAACACTGCACCGTAGACTCAACACTGCACCATAGACTCAGCACTGCACCATAGACTCAGCACTGCACCATAGACTCAACACTGCACCATAGACTCAACACTGCCCCATAGACTCAACACTGCACCATAGACTCAACACTGCACCATAGACTCAACACTGCACCATAGACTCAGCACTGCACCATAGACTCAACACTGCCCCGTAGACTCAACACTGCCCCGTAGACTCAACACTGCACCATAGACTCAACACTGCACCATAGACTCAACACTGCACCATAGACTCAACACTGCACCACAGACTCAACACTGCACCACAGACTCAACACTGCACCACAGACTCAACACTGCACCATAGCACGGTTGGCTACGTATGGTGCAAAAAAAGTTCAACGCACACACGCGTGGAGACCTTGAACGTGCGATGAATTGCGAGGGATGGCACGCCGAGGAATGATGCTCTCGCACCACCGACAGAGGGCAGCGGTGTCTACTTGAAAAGGCCTTCACGCCAGAGGTCGCAACCGGGTACCCGATACCCGTACCCTACCGGATATCCGGCTACCCGTACCCGGCCGGGTACGGGTACCCGTTTGCGGCCGGGTACGGGTAGGCCGTGAGTCACTGGTGAGTCACCGTTTGTCACTCATTTCCCAACGTCTTGTCTCTTCTCACAATTCAAGTTCCTAGAATCAACCCACCCGCGCCTGCAACATGGTTCTAACAGGCTGTAGGGGCAAGTGCTGTTAATAGCGAGTAGCAGCAGCACCTGTGAAGGTAGACACAGACAAAGGTCCCCCGTGTAGACTCTAACAGGCTGTAGGGGCAAGTGCTGTGAGTAGCGAGTAGCAGCAGCACCTGTCAAGGTAGACACAGACAAAGGTCCCCCGTGTAGCCTCTAACAGGCTGTAGGGGCAAGTGCTGTGAGTAGCGAGTAGCAGCAGCACCTGTCAAGGTAGACACAGACAAAGGTCCCCCGTGTAGCCTCTAACAGGCTGTAGGGGCAAGTGCTGTTAGCGAGCGCCTACGAAAAGCCGGCAATGTGGCACACGAGGGGGGTGGGTGGCCAGCACCACCGCACCCGGCTTCGCTCGCGATTCCCCAGTGACGATGTTTACTAAACCACCGCTACACACCAGGTACTCATTCTAAGGCCGATTCGATCTAAGCCCAAGAACGGTTCAGATTTAATCGTCACCGTTGGTGGCCCCACGAGCGCAAAATCGAACTCGCGGTACGATAGCTCCGTGCCCCGAAGCTTCAGAGAGACTCACAGAGACACACAGAGACTCGGAGAGACACAGAAACTCGTGAATATATATACACAGACATCCATGGAGATTCATAGAGACCCAGAGATTCATAATGACCCATACAGATTAAAAGGTGCTACAGAGAGTCACAGAGACCCAGAGGCTCATGATTAATGCTGCTTCCGAGACTCATAGAGACACAGACACCCATGGATAGCCTCTGAGACCCACGGAGACTCCAAGAGACTTATTTTCACCACACGGCCACCAACCAACCCACCTACCAAACCCAATCATCCATGAACCCAGCGACCTACCGTACCACCCACCCACCGTACCATCCACACACCGTACCACTCACCCACCGTACCACCCACTCACCCACCCACCGACAGTCCAACCAACCCACTCACCCACCCACCTACTCACCCACACACCCACCCACCGTACCACCCACACACCCACCCACCGTACCACTCACCCACCCATCGTACCACCCACTCACCGACCCACCGTACCACCCACACACCCACCTACCGTACCACCCACCCACCCACCGTACCACACACCCACCCACCGTACCACCCACCCACCGACCCACCATACCACCAACTCACTCACCCACGCACCGTACCACACACCCACCCACCGTACCACCAACCCACCCACCGTACCACCCACCCACTCACCCACCCACCGTACCACCCACCCACCGATCCACCGTACCTCCGATAGCCGTGCGGGGCTGCGTGGCACCAGCGTCACCGGGGATCGGTACCCAGGCGGTGAGTGAACCGGCGCGGGCGTCACGACGGCCGTGGTGGTGGCGGCGGCGGTGGCGGCCGTGACGTTGGTAGCGGCGACATTGACCGGAGGTGGTCCCGGTGACACCGTCGCTTCGGGTGACGGTGGAGAGGTGACGATCCACGGACGCACTTCGCCGATGCCCGGCGGCCCGGTCGGTGCCGGGGAGTAGCCGCCATCGGTGATGCCGCCGCCGGTGGTGATGCCGGCGCCGGTGCCAGCGGGCGTCCCGGCGCAGCCGTCGAGGAGAAGGGCCTCGTAGAATTCTCGCACGTCTGGCACGCCGGGGAGAGCACACGTTCGAAACATCGTTCATCAACGTCATCATCATGAATATCATCGTCGTCATGATCATAAACATCATCGTGAACATCGCTGTCAACGTCATCATTAAACATCGTCGTCGTCGTCGTCATCATGAACATCATCGTCGTCGTCGTCGTCGTCATCATCATCAACATCATCGTCGTCATCATCGTGAACATCAACGACAACATCATGAACATCATCGTCGTCATCATCATGAACATCATCGATTTAAAGCTTTCCTGACTGCAGGGATTCATCTTCTTGGTTCTTTCGGTAAAGTCATCACGTAGAAGGGAAATAATAAAATAATAAAAATTAAACATAATAAAATACAATTCTCACGACGTTTCGGCCACAACGCAAGCAGCCGTCCTCAGAGACGCTGTCTCCCCGACAGACCTGGTCTTCGCCTGAGGACGGCTGCTTGCGTTGTGGCCGAAACGTCGTGAGAATTGTTTTTTATTATGTTTTTTTTATTTTATTATTTCCCTTCTACGTGACTTTACCTAAAGAACCAAGAAGATGAATCCCTGCAGTCACGAAAGCTTTAAATCGAGTAGAAACTAATTTCATATTTTGCCATGCAAGGCGCACAACTCAGCTGTGTGGAGCTGTTTCAGAAGCAAGTCTGGTTATTGCAAATTAAGGAAGCTGGTAGCACGACGTAGACATTTCTGGCGGTAGCCAAACACTCCGCACGCGCGACGTCGATTCTAAAAGTGGAGGGGAAAACCCAAAACCAGAGGTACCCCCGAAAAAATAAAATCCACGCGAACATGGGGAGAGGGACACACAAACTGCAAATATACAGCGAGGGGAAAAAATGAACCCGTAAAAACAAAGTTTTTCACTATAAATCCTTTATATGCGTGGCATCGGGGTGGCTAGAGTCCTCTGGCTTGAGATGGCTGCCACCTATGGGTCAGATGATTGCATTGCACCATTAAGCAATTGGTAATTAAATATTTTAAAAAAATTCCCTAAACAGTGTAAAAATTTTGGAAATTTTTTTTCACGAAAATGCATTGTCACGCACAACGAGTCTGTGTAGCAAAATGTCAACTCGATTGGATCACGGGAAGTGGGTTAAAAAACGACCGAAAGATTTGCACGGTCCTAAGCAAGCAAGCAAGCAAGTGAACTTAATATAAAGGATTTAAAAAAAGTATTTGATCCCTTGCTGATTTTGTACGTTTGCCCACTGACAAATAAATGATCAGTCTATAGTTGTAAAGGTAGGTTTATTTGAACAGAGAGAGACAGAATAACAACAACAACATACAAAAAAAACGCATGTCAAAAATGTTATAAATTGATTTGCATTTTAATGAGGGAAATAAGTATTTGACCCCCTCTCAAACAGAAAGATTTCTGGCTCCCAGGTGTCTTTTATACAGGTAACGAGCGGAGATTAGGAGCACACTCTTAAAGGGAGTGCTCCTAATCTCAGCATGCGTTTTTCTGGATTTCTTTGTTGTTATTCTGTCTCTCACTGTTCAAATAAACCTACCATTAAAATTATAGACTGATCATTTCTTTGTCAGTGGGCAAACGTACAAAATCAGCAGGGGATCAAATACTTTTTTCCCTCACTGTACAGCAGCAGCAGGCGTCAGGATTTAGATCGAACCCACGCCCTCCTGTATACCAGGCGAGGTAGTTAACATCTCCTAGCCACAGTGATGCCATATCATCATCATCAGCAGCAGCATCTTCATCAGCAGCATCATCCTACTCACTGATTTCTCCCTCCTGGGGTCTCTATGTGAGTCTATGGTCTCTGGGTGAATCCCTCCGTCTCTGTGCGAGTCTGTGGATCTCTGAGACTGTGGGTCTATGTGTGAGTCTGGGTCTCTCTGTGAGTGCGGGTCTCTCTGTGAGTCTATGAGTCTCTATGTGAGTCAATGGGTCTATGTACAAGTCTATGGGTCTCTGTGTGAGTCAATGGGTCTCTGTGTGAGTCTATGGGTCTCTGTGTGAGTCTAGGGGTCTCTGTGTGAGTCGGGGTCTCTCTGTGAGTGCGGGTCTCTGTGTGAGTCTACGGGTCTCTGTGTGAGTCTACGGGTCTCTGTGTGAGTCTACGGGTCTCTGTGTGTGCCCACACACGTGAGTCTACGAGAACCCCGGTGTAAAAATCCCCGCATTTGCGCAGCTGAAACAAGGATTGGAGCCCAGGTTTCAGCAGCGTCGTCTCAGCGTCTCCAACCCAAGGGGCCCAAGCATCCACACGCACACACACACACGCACACACACACACGCACACACACACACGCACACGCGCACACACACACGCACACACACACACACGCGCGCACACACACACACACACGCGCGCACACACACACACACACACGCGCGCACACACGCGCACACACGCGCACACACGCGCACACACACACGCACACACACGCAAACACACACACACGTACACACACGCACACACACACGCACACACACACACGCACACACACACGCACACACACACGTACGCACGCACACACGCACGTTCATACACCCAAGAAAACATCGATTGTCACGCGCAATTAAAACGCGGAAACTGCCGAGCGTCGCCAATACTAATCCGATAATTATTGATTACGATCGAAGGCGTTCTCTCACACCGCGCCAGTTGCGGAACTGCTGTAGTTGGCTTTTTGTGTTTGTCCGTCGCGAGTTTGACGGCCGATGGGAACGGTTTGGTGGCAGTGGCAAAGCGAGCAAAGCAGAAGTTTAGGGCCTCAAGTAGTCTTCTTGGTTCTTTCGGTAAAGTCATCACGTAGAAGGGAAGTAATAAAATAATAAAAATAAAACATAATAAAATAGTAAAAATTAAATATAATAAAATAATAAATAAAACATTATAAAATATGCCAAGCTTGGTGGTGTTCATTCAGACGCTGTCTTTCCGTATATGCCAAGCTTGGTGGTGTTCATTCAGACGCTGTCTTTCCGTATATGCCAAGCTTGGTGGTGTTCATTCAGACGCTGTCTTTCTGTATATGCCAAGCTTGGTGGTGTTCATTCAGACGCTGTCTTTCCGTATATGCCAAGCTTGGTGGTATTCATTCAGACGCTGTCTTTCTGTATATGCCAAGCTTGGTGGTGTTCATTCAGACGCTGTCTTTCCGTATATGCCAAGCTTGGTGGTGTTCATTCAGACGCTGTCTTTCCGACAGACCTGTTCTTCACCTGAGGACGGCTGCTTGCGTTGTGGCCGAAACGTCGTTAGAATTATTTTATTATGTTTTATTTTTATTTTATTACTTCCATTCTACGTGATGACTTTAACGAAAGAACCAAGAAGATGAATCCCTGCAGTCACGAAAGCTTTAAATCGGCCTCAAGTAGCTCAAGGTGATCGCGCTCACTCACTCGCTCGGAATCAAAATATTCATTTGTATCGGAGGAGGAATCCGATGAGCTGTAAAACACAAACTCTACTCACTCTGTAGAACAGGGGGAGATCATGCAAACTCCACTCACTCACTCTGTAGAACAGGGGGAGATCATACAAACTCCACTCACTCACTCTCTAGAACAGGAGATCATAGAAACTCCACTCACTCACTCTGTAGAACAGGGGGAGATCATACAAACTCCACTCACTCACTCTGTAGAACAGGGGGAGATCATACAAACTCCACTCACTCACTCTGTAGAACAGGAGATCATACAAACTACACTCACTCACTCTGTAGAACAGGAGGACATCACACAAACTCCACTCACTCACTCTGTAGAACAGGGGGAGATCATGCAAACTCCACTCACTCACTCTGTAGAACAGGGGGAGATCATGCAAACTCCACTCACTCACTCTGTAGAACAGGGGGAGATCACGCAAACTCCACTCACTCTGTAGAACAGGGGGAGATCACACAAACTCCACTCACTCACTCTGTAGAACAGGGGGAGATCATACAAACTCCACTCACTCACTCTCTAGAACAGGAGATCATAGAAACTCCACTCACTCACTCTGTAGAACAGGGGGAGATCATACAAACTCCACTCACTCACTCTGTAGAACAGGGGGAGATCATACGAACTCCACTCACTCACTCTGTAGAACAGGAGATCATACAAACTACACTCACTCACTCTGTAGAACAGGAGGACATCACACAAACTCCACTCACTCACTCTGTAGAACAGGGGGAGATCACGCAAACTCCACTTACTCTGTAGAACAGGGGGAGATCAGCAAACTCCACTCACTCACTCTGTAGAACAGGGGAGATCACGCAAACTCCACTCACTCTGTAGAACAGGGGGAGATCATACAAACTCCACTCACTCACTCTGTAGAACAGGGGGAGATCATACAAACTCCACTCACTCACTCTGTAGAACAGGGGGAGATCATACAAACTCCACTCACTCACTCTGTAGAACAGGGGAGATCATACAAACTCCACTCACTCACTCTGTAGAACAGGGGATCATACAAACTCACTCACTCACTCTGTAGAACAGGGGGAGATCATACAAAAACTTCCACTCACTACTCTGTAGAACAGGGGGAGATCATACAAACTCCACTCACTCTGTAGAACAGGGGGAGATCACACAAACTCCACTCACTCTGTAGAACAGGGGAGATCATACAAACTCCACTCACTCACTCTGTAGAACAGGGGGAGATCACACAAACTCCACTCACTCTCTGTAGAACGGGGAGATCATACAAACTCCACTCACATTCTGGAGAACAGGGGGAGATCATACAAACTCCACTCACTCACTCTGTAGAACAGGGGGAGATCAAGCAGACCTCACTCACTCTGTAGAACAGGGGGAGATCATACAAACTCCACTCACTCACTCTGTAGAACAGGGGGAGATCATACAAACTCCACTCACTCACCTGTAGAACAGGGGGAGATCACACAAACTCCACTCACTCACTCTGTAGAACAGGAGGAGATCATACAAACCCTCACTCACTCTGTAGAACAAGGGGAGA